CCTTAGCGCTGCTGAATAGATTTGTTCTCAAATTATTTAGTCTTTGAGACAAAACTGAAAGAACAATCAAAAGAAATAAAAACCAAAAGAACTGAAGATGCTGTAAATCAGGAACAAAAACAGAAGTTTCTGGAAAAGTTCAGCAGGTCTCAGGAAGGGGTCACTGAATCAAAAGAAATAATCTTACCCAGTAATTAGTACAATTACAACAACTCAGATTTAAATAGTGCTGTCAATTTAGTAAAACATTGTCAAACAAAATTTGATTCTAAGATATATAGAGGCTTACTAGGACAGATGATCAAAAACTTGGTGAAAGAGGTTGATCTTAAAGAATGTTTTAATGTTTTAAAGCGATGAAAAATAGTAGAAACAGAGGATTAAACAGAGAATTCTGGAGATAAGGCAATCCTAAGGTGTGGGCAGCTGATGATAATTGTAGCCAGTGGTGTAACAATTGAAGTTGTGGATTCTGCACAAATAGGTAGAATTTGAGGAACCCAGGCATTCTAGTGATTATAAGCCTGCCAGAAATTACAAACAAAGGGAGTGACAAAGCCATGGAGGGATTTGCAAACAAGAATGAGAATTATAAATTGAGCTGTTGCCAGATCAGGAAATAATGAAGGTCAGCAAGCAGAGGTGTGATGGGAGAATGGGACATGGGCCAGAAATTAGTTCAAACTGATGGTAGTGGCAGGGGATGTACCTGTTTGAAATTTCCGCTCATTTCAGGGCTGGGACTGTATTTGGGAGGGTTTGGAGACAGTGGAGCAACATGCATTGGGCATTTAATTGTTTACGATGGTGCCAGTTGGAGGTGATGGTGCCTTCCCTCCTTGTGCAATGAATAAGTCCAGAAAGAAAGACTTGTGGACAGCCTTCCCACCCTGCCACCAATCAAAGCCTTTAAATAAGCAATTAATGTCCACTTAAAGGCCTCGCCCAGCATTGCTGATGCTGTTCACCATGTGACAGGTGTGGCAGTCTCCACTCGGAGAAGGTGGAAGGCAAACACTCAGTGCCTGATCAAGGGATCCAGCAACAGGAAAAGGAGGTTCTGCTGAGAAGCATCCCTCTCCTTTCCAGCAACCTTCACTCCATGATGCTCATCCTGCCCTGACTCCCCTGTGGCTTGGGTCCCTCATTGATCCTGGGCTATTGGGCAGGGGTTGCCAATTGCTCTCCGAGGGACTGAAACATCCGCAATGAAGAGCTACTAGCCTCTGGATGGCTGCTAACACTCAGGTGGGATTTCTATTCTTGGGGTTTTTAATCCTGAGGAAGGCCTGACCACTTGGAGACAGTAAGGACAGCAGATGCTGGAAGCTAGAGTCAATAAATGTGGAGCTGGTAAAGGACAACTAGTCAGACAGCATCCGAGGAACAGGACAGTCAATGTTTCAGGCCAAAACCCTCTGTCAGGACTTCTGGGCCAAAACTCAGCACAAAACGTTGTCTTTCCTGCTCCTTGGATGCTGTCTGACCAGTTGTGCTTTTCCAGCTCCACATCTATTGACTCAAGGCCTGACCACTGGCCATTTGACTGGCACTTAATGTGGGCCTTCCCCAAAAGACATTCCCCATCATTTGGATTAAAATCCACCCTGAATGTTAGGGCAGCAGTGGTGACAAATCAGAGACATTCAAATATCTTCGGTTAAAGATGGATATTGTTTAACATACTTTTGGAACCCTCTTAATTTTTCACATTATATGCTGCACCTAAGAAGCATAGAAGGGACATAGGAGAAAGGGAAAATTTTTTTCCAGAAGTTCTAAGGTTAAGGGGTGATCTGATTGAAGATTTCAAGATATTAACAGGAAAAAACAGGGTAGATAAACTATTTCCACCAGTTGATGGTTGTAGAACTTGGGGGCATAGTCTGAGAATTAGGGCCATACCATTCAGGAGAGATGTTAGCAAGCACTTTTACACACAGAGTGGTAGATGTTTGGAACTCTTCTACAGACAGCAGTGTATGCTGGATCAGTTGTTAATTTTAAATCTGAGATAGATAATTTTTTGTTAAGCAAATCTATTAAGGGATATGGGCCAAAAGCAGTTATATGGATGAGCAATGATCTAATTGAATGGTGGAACAGGCTTGAGGGGCTGAATGGCCGACTGCTGCTCCTATGTTCATGTCTAGGGTAGGGAAGAACATTAAATTTCTTTTGGCCTGCTGGGCAGGCTAAGAGAGAGACAGTAGTAGCAGAGGTAGCTTTTTAATTTAAAAAAAAAAAAAAAAAAAAAAAAAAAAAAAAATCGCTTGAGGGACACGAGCGTCACTGGCTAACAAGCATTTATTGCATGTCCTAGCCTGCCTTTTTAAACTGCAGCAGTCTACATGTTGTAGTCTGATCCACAATGCCCTTATGATGGGAATTCCAGGATTTTGATCCAGCAACAGTGAAAGATTGGCAATATATTTCCAATTCAGGATGGTGAGTGGTTTGGAGGGGAACTTGCAGATGGTGATGTTCCCATGTATCTGCTGCCCTTGTCCTTTTATGTGGAAGTGGTCATGGGTTTGGAAGATGCTGTCTAAACAGCCTTGGAGAATTTCTGCAGAGCATCTTGTAGACAGTACATACCACTGCTACTGAGCACTGGTGGTGGAAGGAGTGGATGATTATGGATGTGGTGCCAATCAAGTGGGGATTATTCCATCACACTCCTGCATAGTTAATTCAGTAGGTACAGTTTTTTCAATGAGTTACTACAAATTTCCACTTAGTAGAATGAGGACTACAGATTCAGAGGAAACATCACCTCTAAATTATCCACCTTAATCACACACCATTCTGATATAGGCGTATATCACTGCTACTTCACAAGAACGGAGTCAAAATTGTGGAATTTCCTACTTAACTGTAATGATGGATTATCTATACCACTGTGGACTGCAGTAACTCGAGAGTACACTCACCACCACCTTCTGAAGGGCTTCTTGGGATGGGAAATAAATTTTGGTCTTGCAAGTGATATCTATATCCCAAATGGTTGCATTCTGTGAAATCATACCAATTTTCATAATCATACCAATTAAACTGCTTTATTCAGCACAATAAAGGATATTTGCTATAACTTCAGTGTTGTTTAATCACCGGTTAAAGTTTTGTTGCTTGTAACCAACATGATGTGGAGGTGATGGTGTTGGACTGGGGTGGACAAGGTCAGAAGTCACATTACACCAGGTTATAGTCCAATTGGTTTATTTCAAATCACAAGCTTTTATCAGGTGAAGTGAAGCATACAGGCATAGAATTTATAGGCAGAGACATCAAAAGATTGTACAAATGGTGTGAGTGGAGTGTCGACAGGCTGAATAAAAAGTTCCTACAGGTGATCAAAAGTGTCACACGGTGTGCGTAAAGTGTCAACAACTGAATAGAAGTGAAGGGATGACTTGTGATCCGATTAATTAAGGCAGGAGAGATTATTACAAAAAATTAAAAATAAGATGGTGCTGGAGACAAACCAAATGGCTGGAATAACATGATAGGTATAAGACATGTTGAGGGTCTAACCAAACTAACAAGAAATCCAAAACTGTACAAACTAATTGGGTAGAGAGATCATAACTTGTTATCAAGGTGATGATTTCAAAACAGGACAATAAAGTAAGATTTTACAAATACAGAACAGTATGGTGGGGTTACATGTAGTGTGACATGAACCCAATATCACGGTTGAGGCCATCTTCAGTTTCTGCTCGGCGATTCTGCATTGTGTCTCGAAGGCTGTCTTGGAGGATGCTTACCCAAAGATTGGAGGCTGAATGTCCTTGACCGCTGAAGTATTCTCCGATTGGGAGGGAACATTCCTGTCTGACAATTGTTGCGTGCTGTCCATTAATCTGTTGTCGTAGCATCTGCTTAGCCTCGCTAATATACCATGCCTTGGGGCATCCTTGCCTAGGGTGTATGAGGTAGGCAACATTGGCAGAGTCACATGAGTATCTGCCGTGTACATGGTGGGTGGCATTCCCACGTGTGATGGTAGTGTCCATGTCAATGATCTGGCATGTCCTACAAAAGTTGCCGTGGCAGGGTTATGTGGTGCTGTGGTCAATGTTGTCCTGAAGGCTGGGTAGTTTGCTGCGAATGATGGTCTGCTTAAGGTTTGGTGGTTGTTTGAAGGCGAGAAGGGAGAGTGCAGGGATGAACGTGGCGAGATGTTCATCGTCTTCAATGACATGATGAGGGCTGCAAAGAACATGGTGTAGTTTCTCCACTCCAGGAAGTGCTGGACGACAACGGATGCTCTATTGGTCGTGTCCTGTGTTTGTCTTCCGAGGAGGTCGCTGCAGTTTTTCGCTGTGGCAAATTGGAACTGGCGAACGATGAGCTGAGCATCATATCCTGTTCTTATGAGTATGCCTTTCAGCATCTTTAGGGGTCCGTCACTTTCCTCTTCGTTTGAGCAGATCCTCTATATACACAGGGCTTGTTCATAGAGGATGGCTTCTAGTGCATATCACACACCTGAATGCTTTGTAGATCTTCCATACTCACTATTTACAGGTATTGTATCTTAGCCTGTCTTATTGCCTACACAGTAATAGAAAATAGAGTATCACAATCTTATGTTTCTACATTTCTCAATGTGCAGATGTATTGACACCACAAACTTTTTCTGCTCAAGATAGTGATCAGTTTCTGCACTTTAATTAGTACGTGAGAGACATAGTAACTCACCAAAGGCGTTGTTTTCTATTCCACCTCCTCCTGAGGATCAGGTACAGAGGAAATCTTAGATACTTCTGAGCATTTTATCACAGATCTACAAATCAATAAATTCCAGGAACTTTACCCTGTGTAGTTGCTTACTCTGATATTTTAACATTGCCACAGTGCATTATCCCAAACATCCCAGAATGTTCTAATTAAATAAATATTTCAACTGTAGCATATAGTGTCCAGTTAATTAAAGAAAGTCAGTTGCGAACTTAGTGAATAGGAAGTAAACATTCTTTGATTTTTATTTCTTCTAGGCAGGGAAGTTTGATATTGTTCCAACAGTTATTAATATTGCTGCAGCCCTCACGTCTATTGGAGTTGTAAGTACTTACAAGTTTCTTTTCCATTTTATATATTGTATTAATGGATGTTTTGTGACTTTGCTCAAGACAAATATACATTTTTACATTGGCAAAAGTATCAGCTCACATAATGCACAATGTATTACCCTATGTTAGGATGAAACTGTATTTAAACAATGCTGTAAAGCCTAACCGCTATAAGTAAACAAAATCCTGAAGGCCAATTAGAATTCAATTCATAAGGGAGATTTGCAAACTGGTAAGTGCTGATACCTTTCTGGGTCCAGGGCCACTATGACTACCACACACTTTCTCTGTAATTTGATCATCTGACTTGTTTGTTCCAAGACCCAACAATGATGCTCACTTAGTTTAACTAATGTTCTGAAACTCGCAGTGTAGCCTCATTTAGAAGAGGCAACAGGAGTAAGGTCTGAGTTAGAGTTGGAGACTTTGGATAGTTCTGACTTATTTAATTAAATAGTCAGCCAGGAAATTTTAGACAGAAAAAAACCAAGGCTAACTCTTGAGTAAGAGCACCCTACCACTGCAGACCACCACCTTGAAGGTCAAGAACAGCAGATACATGGGAATATCACCACTTGCAAGTTCCCCTCCAAGCCACGGACCAACCTGAATTGAAACTACATTGCGGTTCCTTCCTAATAGCGCTGTAGGTGTACCCTGCATCTCCAGAGCTCAGTACTACCTTCTCCAGGGAAAGTAGAGATAGGTAGTAAATTCTGGCCTAGCAACGATGTCCATATCCTAAGAATGAATAAAAAGAAATTTTTTTTTTCCCCTGAACTTAGGGTTCATTCCTTTGTGACTGGATTTTGCTGACCTTCATGAACAAGAATGATGTCTACAGTGCAAGGAAGTTTGAAGAGGTGAAAATTGAACTAATCAAACTCAGAGACATTTTCTGATGGAATTCACAGATTGTTAGTAGCCTTCTCATTCTGGGACTTAGCAGAGGATCTCTCCATAGCTGCTGTGATCAGCTAGGAGGAAAGGTACCTCTGGTTGGAACGGATTTCACACCATCTAGGAGTATAGCTCAGAACTAACAATTTTGGTGGCCTCACAATTTAGACTTTGATTCCAATGAGTTGACTCACAGTGAAGCAACTTTTCAGCTGAAAACTTAAATTAAAGCCCTAGCAATCACCTCATGGACATAAAATGTTCCATGACATCTTAAAAAGTTGAGGCCCTTCAGTTGTGTTGGTCAATATTTTTCCTGGAATCAATGCCATTTAAAACTTGATTGTTCAGTTATTCATTCCTTTGCTGTTGGACAAAGCTTACTGTGCATAATTTTGCTGCTGAGGTTACATAGCAATAATGATTGTACTTCAATGTTAAACAATTGGCTGTAAAGTATATTGAGGTGACCTGAAGACATGATATTTCAAAGTGTTACATCTTTCAGAGTTTTTAATGTCCATCTGAACCAGTAGATGCAAAGAACAAAGAAAATTACAGTACAGGAACAGGCCCTTCTGCCCTCCAAGCCTGCATCAACATGCTGCCCATCACAACTAAAACCCTCTACGCTTCTGGGGACTGTATCCCTCTATTCCCATCCTATTCATTTGTCAAGACGCCCTTTAAATGTCACTATAGTATCTGTTTCCACTACCTCCCCTGGCAGCGAGTTCCAGGCACCCACCACCCTCTGTATAAAAAACAACTTGCCTTGTACATCACCTTTAAACCTTACCCCTCGCACCTTAAACCCATGGCCCCTGGTAACTGACTCTTCCACCCTGGGAAAAAGCTTCTGACTATCCACTCTGTCCATGCACTTCATAATCTTGTAGACCTCTATCAGGTCACCCCTCAACCTCCGTCGTTCCAATGACAACAACACAAGTTTCTCCAACCTCTCCTCATAGCTAATGCCCTCCATACCAGGCAACATCCTGGTAAATCTTTTCTGTACTCTTTCCAAAGCCACCACATCCTTCTGGTAGTGTGGCGACCAGAATTGAACACAATATTCCAAATGCGGCCTAACTAAGGTTCTATAAAGCTGCAACATTACCTGCCAAGTTTTAAACTCAATGCTCTGGCCGATGAAGGCAAGCATGCCATATGCCTTGTTGACTACCTTTTCCACGTGCATTGCCACTTTCAGTGACCTGTGTACCTGTACACACGGATCCCTTTGCCTATCAGTACTCTGAAGGGTTCTGCTAGTTTCAGTTTAACCTTTTAGTTGGAAGGCAACTTCTCCAACACTGCAGCATTCCCTGGGTATAACCCTCATGCTAATCTAGACTAAATGGAGGTAGAATTCAGATCTTTTCTTACAATCCATTACACAATAAGGTGTACAGGGTGGTGATAAATACCCATGCGGAAGTGAAAGAAGTGTCAGCTAGATTTCTGAGGAATGCAGAGAAGAGCAGAGTTGCTCTGAGGGGAAAGGAGTATCAAAAAGTTATCTCCAGATTATCCATGTCCTTTAAGTGGTTGCATCACAATTAACCAAGACTGTCATGAGCTTTAAGGTGCATGGCATAGGAAAGTATTAGGGGAAAGGAAACAAATGGCCTGTAGATTGCAATAGTTAAAATATGATAAAAGGCTATTCTGTTATTACTTCTATTGAATAAAGAGAATCTTTCCTATTATAGACTCAATACACGCCCATTTAAATCACTGAGGAATAGTGCTGTACTTTGTCTCCAAATCTCAAATATTCAAGTACACGCTATGGAAGGACAGGGTTGTGGGGAGGGGTCATTTAGTTTAGTTGGCTGGGCAGCTGGTTTGCAATGCAGACTGATGCCAACAGCGTGGGTTCAATTCCTGCACTGGCCAAGGTTATCATGAAAGACTTGCCTTTTCAGTTCCTCTCCCTGCCAGAGGTGTGGTGACTCTCAGGTTAAACCACCGACAGTATTCTCTCACTAATGGGAAAGCATCCTATCATCTAAGACTATGGCAACTTTACCTTTACTTTGCTACGTTTCCATCCCTGTACTGCCAGCAAAGGTTTCCATAGGTTACATTTCCATGGTTCCAGCTGCTTGGAAATTAGTGTTTCATTGCGTATTTGTCGATTTCTGTGTATGGCACTTCAATCCAATTGTTATCTTAGGTAAAAGGCTAGCTAACAAATAAAACATAATGAGAGTCTATTCCACATACTCTACAGGAGTTAAAACAATTTTATGAATATTAATTTTATGTTTGTGTCTGTTAGCCTAATTCAGCCTCATGCTCCAATCATCTATGCTACTTTTCATTTTAAACATGTTCTTCCTCCAACAAAAATAAGTCTATGCCTGTGAATGTCTCCTCAAAATAAGCTCTTCCTTTTGTGATCACTCTGCTTGAAACCCAAGAAACATATCAACGCAGTTTTGAAAATACAGTACTCCACTTGCATGCAAAGTTATAAATATGTAACAACCTAATTTAAGTTGTAGCAAAATTTATTCTGATGCGTAGTACGTACTACCAGGTCATCATCAACATCAGCTTCATACACCAGGCATTCACATTCCATGAGTAGCCAACAATCATATCTCGGCCCATAAATGCACCACTTGCACCATCTACATCAAAATCCGATATTACTTATTCATTTAACTGATCCAGATCATCTGACCAGTGTCATTAGCAGTTTTATGACAGACACCTTCGGTCATGAAACAGGTTTGCCCTTTTTTCTTTAAACATAATTTTTCTTTATATGAGCACATAAAAACATTTTAAATTAGGAGCAGGAGGCCACTCACCACCTCCACTTTTCAGTGGAATCATGGATAATCTGATTACTACTCATGCCCACCTATTCCCAATAACCTTCATTCCCTTGTTAATCAAGAATCTATCCAAACCATCTGTCTTAAAAATATTCAAAGACTTTTCTTGCTTATACCTTTTTAAGGAAAAGATTTCCAAAGTCTCATGATTCCCAGTGAGGAGGAAAAAATTCTCTGCTTCTCTATTTTAAATAGGCAACCCCTTTTTCTGAAACAGTGACCCTTAGTTCTAGGTTCTCCCACAGCCAAGAGTGATTGGGACTAAAAATGTTAAAACAACAAGCCTTAAGATCTTGTGCCTTAATGCACGGAAAATTCATAATAAAATGAATAGAATCACTGCTGGTTAAAAAGGAAATTAATGCAATTGAGAGGACAGATATTCAGCCAAGTGAAGCAGAATCTGTATGGGTTGAGATGAGAAACATCCACAAGCAGAAAGTGATAGTAGGGTTATGTATAGATCCCCAAACTGTATGACTAATACTGGGAAAGGCAGCAAAAAAGAAATTAGAGATGCAAGTAATGAAGATATGGCAGTAATTTTACGCAACTTTAATCTGCATATAGATTGGGCAAAGCAAATCAGTAACAATACAGTAAGGAGGAATTCTTGGAACATATACAGGATAGCTTTATGAATCAATGCACTGAGGAACAAATGAGAGAAAAGGCCATCCTTGACAGAATAATGTCTAATGAGGAAGGAATAATTGACAATCTAGTTGTGCATGAGCCGATGGGGAAGAGTGACCACAATAGATAGAATTCTTCATTAAGATGGAGAATGGCGTAATTGTTTCGGAGACTACAGTCCTGAATTTATATAAAGTAAAATATACAATGGTATGAGACACAAGCTATCTATGATAAATTGGGGACTGTCCTTTAAAGGGATTATAGTAAATAGATAATTGAAAACATTTAAAGATCATATGGATGAACTGCAAAAGTTATTAATTCAAGTCTGTCAAAACTAAAATGAGAAAAGTGGTCAGACCACAGCTAACGAGGAAATTAGGGATACACTTAAATCCAAGGAAGAGGTGTACAAATTGGCCAAAAAGCAACAGATCTGACAAATGAGACAAGTTCAGGTTTAAGCAAAGGGAGACAATATATTGAGTAACAGAGGGAAATAGAGTATGTAAGCTTGCAGGAAACATATAAACCAACAGTAAAAGCCTCTATAGGTTTGTGAAGAGAAAAAGATTCGAAGACAAATACAGTTAGAAATGGGAATTTACAATGGGGAAGAAAGAAATGGTAGACCAATTAAATACAAAACTTAGTTCTGCCTTCACAAAGGAAGACACAAATGATATCCCAAAAGTATGGGGGCAGCACAAGACCTAATGGGTAGGAGGAACTGAAAGAAATTAATATTAATAGGGAAATAGTGTTGGGAAACTAACATGATTGAAGGGCAGGTAAATCATCAGGGCAGGATAAACTTCATCCCAGAGTACTTAAGGAAGTGGCCTTAGAAATAGCAGATGTATGAGTTGTTATCTTCTGAAACTCTCTTGACTCTGGAACAGTTCCTGTGGATTGGAAGGCAGCTAATGGAACCCCACTTTTTAAAAAAATGAGACAGAAAGGAAACTTCGAATTATAGATCGATTAGTTTGACATTGATAGTGGGGAAAATGCTACAGTCCATTATAAAAGAATTAATAGCAAGCACTTGGAAGATAGTGCAAAGATCAGTCACACTCAGCCTGACTTTACAAAAGGAAAGACAGGCTAGAGAAATCTGCTGGAATTTTTTTGAGGATGTAACTAGTCGGATGGAAAAGGGGGAGTCAGTGGACGTGGTTTTCTTGAATTTTCAGAAGACTTTGATAAGGTCCCATGTAAGAGATTAGCATGTAAAATTAAAGTGCATGAGATTGGAGGTTGTGTGCTGAAATGGATGGAGGACTGGTTGGCTGACAGGAAACAAATAGTAGAGATAAACAGGTCTTTTTCCCAACAGCCAGGCAGTAACTTGTGATGTATACAGGGATCAATGTTTGAACCCCAGCTACTCAATATTTTCATGATTTAGATGAGGAAGCTACATGTCGTATCTCCATGTTTGCAGGTGACACAAAGCTGGGTGGGAGGGTGAGCTATAAGGAGGCTGCAGAGATGCTTCAGTATAATTTGGACAAATTAAGTGAGCGGACAAATACATGGTAGATGCAGTATAATGTGGATAAAAGTGAGGTTATACACTTACGAAAAACAGGGAGGCAGATTACCTGGGAAAGGCAGAGGTGAAACAAGACCTAGGTGTCCTTGTACACCAGTTGCTGAAAGCAAGCATGGAGGTGCAGCAGGCAGTAAGAAAGTTTACCAGACTGATTGCTGGGATGGTGTGACTGATGTACAAGGCGGGATTGGATTGGTTAGGACTACATTCACTAGAGTTTAGAAGAACGAGGGGGAATCTCATAGAAACCAATTAAATTCCCTCAGAATTAGACAGGGTAGATGCAGAAAGGATTTTTCAATGACCGGGGAGTCTGGAACCAGGGGTCAGTCTAAGGATAAGGGGTAGGACATTTAGGATGGAAATGAAGAATTTTTTTCCCCCAAAAAGGGTGGTGACCCTGTGGAATTCTCTGCCATAGGAAACTGTAATGGCCAAAACATTGAAGATTTCCAAGAAAGCTGTAGATATAATTCTTAAGACTACAAGGATCAAAGGATATGGGGAGAAAGCAGGAGTAAGGTCCTGAGTTGGATGATCAGCCATCATTATACTCAATGGAAAAGCAGGTTCAAAGGGCCAAAGGGTCTGCTCCAATATTCTATTTCTAAGTAAACATCCTTTCCACATGCAGCCTGTTAAGACCCCTCAGATTCTTATATGTTTTAATCAAGTTGCTTCTTACTCCTTAAACCACTCGTTACATTCTTGCCAACCAGAAAAATGACCCATTTTTTGCTTACTCAGTTTCCTGTTAGCTAACCAATTTTCTATCCATGTCAATATGCTACCCTCCACACCATGAGCTTTAATTTTCCATAATAATCTTGGATGTGCCATCTTATCAAACGCCTTCTGGAAATCTGCTTACAACACATCCACTGGTTCCTCTTTAGCAGCAGCACACGTACTTTTAACATCTTTATGTCTATTCAATCTGGTCTTTAGGCAAATATTAATAAATGTCATATTTGAATGTTTTCAACTTTCAGAAGCTAGACTAAATAGGGCTATATTTAGTAGACTCAGGTGATATCCAATTCAGATTCTACTTTTCCCATTCATAATGTCATTTGAGTAGGACTTCACGATGCTACTGGAAAATCTGCTGCAAAGTCTACTCTCAAGCGGTTTCTAACCATAGCTCCAAAGCACAATATAGGACAATAAGAAGTGAATGAATTATTGTAACATCCATATAGCCATCTCCATTTACAGTATTCAAAATATGGGCAATTCCTTGAAATGTAATTTAAAGTTTGGACAATTTTGGAACAATTACAGAGATTTACAAATAAAAATCTCTCAGATTAAGGTGAACTTTTCCTGATAAAACATGCAGTGGTTTTATTTGTATTTACCGATTAGGAAATGGTAACGAAGCATATACACACAAAAACTCACGAAACCTCTTTTTTTACTACATAGGTTATTAAAGAAAGAATTATACTGGCAGTCAATGAGCATGGAGCTTCAGAACAAGAACTGAAAGCAATTCAAGCAGAAAATTGCAAACATTGTTGATTTCCATATTATGTTTCCATCTTGAAGTGGGATGCAGATAAGGTATTCAAAAAAGTTGAGTGGGTCTTGGGAATCAAATAAGGTAGACAATCTCCCTGAACTTTCTTGGTTTCATTTACGGGGTGAAAATTGTTATAATGTTAGCACTATAAAACTTTTTAGGCAGGAGATAATGCTCACGTTCATTTTCATTTTATAACACATCTTAACTGCCCTTGAGATGGACAGATAACAAGTCAAACTAATGCAGCCCTGAACCAATTGTATGCTGACACCGCTATTAAGGTTCAATAATAAATATGATCACATTTTAACTCTTCAGTATTGAAGGGACACTGCCGTTTGAGCCAATTCCTTATTTTGTCAGCTGTGTAAGAGTGAGTAATTACACATTTTTTTAAAAAAGTAAAATATAGAATTTTAACAAGTATATAAACTGACAATGTGGCAGTTCTAATGGTCAGAATGCTGTACCTAAATAATGGATATTTTGAATTCTTAGTCTATGATGTAGAAAATTGATGGACAAGGCAAAAGCAGCTGATCCATTAAACTTGCTTTAAACCTCACAATGGTACAATCATCTGAAATAGTTATTTCCCACTTTCTCAAAGCAGTCATGTAGGCACAGAGTAAACAAAGACCTTGCGGGGGTCAATAAGTTACAAAAGCTTTCTGGAAAACTCCAGTCCAACCTTCTCAGATGATTAAAACTGATCTAGGAGGACGAAGGAACATTTGCTATCTATAGAGATACTTGGATATAATGTAATCCAAGTCTAGCTTTCCCATCATGGTGTTCAGAGAGTCAGCATCAGCACACCAGTTGTCAATCTATTCCATGGCCTTACCACTCCTTAGGAAAAGAACAACCCCTTAAAATCAGTCTGTTCTAATCTTGGACTGTTCAAACTTGTGCTCCTCTCCATTCTGTTAAACTGGAATATCCTCTTAATGGATATGTAATCCAAACCTTTGCTTATTTTATACATTTCTATCAGATTGCTTCTAGGTTTACAAAACTAGTGTAACTAGATCAAGCTCCATAAACCTGTTTTAAGTGGCTGAAAATGGCACTCTTTTTCATTTATATTGAATGGTTCTATTAATATTACATTATAACTACTGTTAGCTTTAGCTGTAACTTCAGCTTTAGCAGTAACTTGTGCTGTAAAAATGCCTGCCGCTATTCAGTTCAAAGTTTTAAAGTACCTGAGCAATAAACAGACAACAGTAGCTGCTTTCTGAACATATTTATGGAATTTAACAGATAGCAAATAATGACAAGGATACATATATAGTTTTTGATGAGTGCAAACAAATAAGCTTACTGATTTTGGTTAGGAGTTCTCATATATTCTTAATAGTAATAAATTTGAACTCTCATTCCATTTATATTCTTTTAATGCCTGTATTTATATTGGAATGCATTGTGCATTGTTACCAGCAACATTTTAACAATTCCTTTTATTTTATTTTCTTAACGAAATTTTCTTTTACCTTGTTTGACATCTGTGCCAAGTGACTATGATCACCTGAGGAAAGGGATCGCTATTGGGGTTGATATTGAGCTCTTTTTGATAAATATTAATTGATACAAACGAGATGCACAATTTCACAGTTTGCAGATACCCCAAAATTTGAAAATGAGGCAAACAGTGAGGTGGAAATTAGCAGACTTAAGGAGGACACAAACTGGTGAAATGAGTTTAGATATAGCAGATGGAATTCAATGCAGAGAAATGTCAAATGATACATTTTAAAGGTGCTACAGGACAGGCACCTTGGGGGTTCTTACATATAAAGCTTTGATGGTGCCAGGAAGAGCTGACAAAGCTGTTCAGACAAAAATCTTCATAGACTATTGATCAGGCTGCAGGATTGAGTCAATTCATGCACCACAGTTTACAGATGATATCAAGACGATGATGCAAGGTGCAGAGGAAATTTATCAGAAGACTTGGAGACTCCAGTTATGTGAAGAGATTACAGAATTCGTCATTTAACAGTGCAGAAGATGAATTGGAGGTTAAAATAGGTGAAGAAAATAGACCAAATAAGGAGAAACTGTTTCAATTTCCAATTATGGGGAGGCAGGTAACCAAGGGGTCATATTTAAGATAATTGGGAAAAAAAAAACTGGGATAAGATTTATTTTGCAGCATGTTATGATGACTTGGAGTGCACAATTCTGAAAGAATGATGTAAGTAGATTTAAAATAAACTTTGAGTCAAAATTTTTGAAAGTCTTCAAGTTTTCATACTTGATAAGAAAGAAATGAAGGGTCATGAGGAAAGAATACAGCATGTTGGGCTGAATTGTCTGCTTTTGTACTGTGAGATTCTCTAATATGCCATAAAAGGTGAATGCTTATTCTTGTCTATTGTTGTACGTGAGATAATTTGAGAGACAAAAAAATAAATTGCTCATGTTTTATCTTGAAAAGTTAAAAAAAAAATCAAATCAATGTAACACCTGTGATTTTTTTCCAGTTAGAAATAAGGATTACCAGCTTTCATTTTTCACCACCATCTCCGTTCTCCATTGCATGTGTGTCACAGCAGCAACCTGGCCATGAATTAATAGAATCCCTTGAGGGAAGCACTCAGCTTCCAATTCATTGATATATGCCTAAGGTCAACAACACCATACTATCCGTAATAATGCAATTAAAGTCTGCCAGAATTTTAAAAGCGTTTCCAACTAGAACTGCTTTCAAAACATTCTAATTTTATAGGTTCTTTAAATAAAAATGGCTTTCCTTGAAAATATCTATGTTTCCAGTACAGAGTCGTCGTTGAAAGGAGAATTCTCACAACAGTATTGTGGCCTTGAAGATCCAACACTGCATGTATTCGATAATTTTATCTGTATTGTTAGGACTCTTAATAATCAATCCAGACATTCTACCTAATCTGTGAATTCTGAGTAAATGCCAAATACGTCTCCCATTGGGTTTTATCAACTAAAGAATTGCAAAATTGCATATTTCGTCTCTTGTGCTTTCAATTGAACAGGAAAGGACAAATATAACTCCTTTTCACTTTCAAATTAAGCTGTGAACATTTGTACAGAACTATTTTCTTGCACTGCTCAAAAATTATGTGCGACATTGCATGTCTAGATTGGAAGGTGATTAGTAACTAACAGATTTGAGGTTAGTGGTTTAGGAAGTGATAGTTTCTCAAGCTAGTTATGATGACACTGGAAAGTCCTATGCATATTATTACTTCTAGCTGAACAAACACACTGATTAGCTCACTTCATCTGAGCCAATAAGGGTACTGTCTGGTGCATTACTAATGTGTCATTGCTGAAAAATGACATTGTATTGAAGTTTTTCATCTTGCACTCAGCAGGATAGTTTGCAACAGTACCAATTCAAGGGAAAACATGAGGGAAGAGTGCTGATTGGTTTGGAAATGAATTTCTTCTTGGTAGAGACATTGTCATGAAGAATGCACCCATTAAAATTGAATGACAGTTAAGTCCCAAGAGCTAAATTTTAAACCAGGCACGTTGAATAATTTTACCAACGAATGACTGTCACCCATTTTGTTATGTTGAAACAGGGGCACTATGTGCACGCTTTTGCCTGTAAACTTCAAGAGAGTCGGGGGATAGGGGAGTGTAATGACCATCACTAAGGAGAAGGTGCTGGGGAAGCTGAAAAGTCTGAAGGTGGATAAATCACCCTGACCAGATGGACAACACAGCAAAGTTCTGAAGGAGATAGCTGAGGAGATTGTACAGACATTAGTGGTGATCTTTCAGGAATCACTGGAGTTGGGAAGGGTGCCAGAGGACTGGAAAGTAGTTAATGTAACACTCCTATTTAAGAAGGGAGGGAAGAAGAAGACAGGAAACTACAGGTGAGTTAGCCCGACCTCAGTCGTTGATAAGATTTTAGAGTTCATTATTAAGGATGAGGTTGAGGAGTACTGGGAAGTGTGTGGTAAATAGAGTGAAGTCAACATAGTTTCGTCAAGGGGACGCCATGCCTGACAAATCTGTTAGAATTCCTTGAAGAGGTAATGAGTAAGTTAGACAAAGGAGAGACAATAGATGTGATCAACTTGGATCTTCAGAAGGCCTTTGACAAGGTGCCACACAGGAGGCTGCTACATGAAAAAAGAGCCCATGGTGTTAGGAACAAGGCACTAGCATGGATAGAAGATTGGCTGCTGGTAGAAGACAGAGAATAGGGATAAAGGGGTCTTTTTAAGGTTGGCAGCCAATGACTAGTGGAGTTCCACTGGGTCACTGTTGGGACCATAACTGTTCACGCCATTCATTAATGATTTGAATGAAGGGCATTATTACTACATTTGCAGAAGACACAAAGCTAGATGGTAGAACAAGTAGTCTTGCAGTAGCAGGGAGCTTCAGAAGGACTTGGATATGCTAGGCGAGCGGACAAAGAAGTGGCAGATGGAACAAAATGTGAAGTTATACATTTTGGTAGGAAGAACTGGTGTAGAATATTTTCTAAATGGGGGAAGACAAACTTGAAGTGAAAAGGGACTCGGGAGCCTTAGTTCAGGATTCGCTTAAGGTTAATGTGCAAGTTCACTTGATGGTTAGGAAGGCAAATTTGACATTCATTTCAAGAAGGTTAGAAAACAACAGCAGAGATGGAGTGCTGAGGCTGTATAAAGCTGTGGTCAGACCAAATTTAGAACGTTGTGTGCAGTTTTGAGCTCCATACCTAAAAGAAAGATGTGCTGGTGTTGGAGGGGGTCCAGAGGAGATCTACAAGAATGATCCTGGGGATGAACAGCTTGTCATATGAAGAGTGGTTGAGGACTCTGGGTCGGTACTTTATGGGAGTTTAGAAGGTTAAGGAGGGATTGGACTTAAATTTACAGGATACCGAGTGACTTGGATAGAGTGGAAGTGCAGAAAATGTTTCCACTAATAGGAGAGACTAGGACTAAGTTCATGTGTGAGGCAGCATCATCTAATGAAATGTCAGTTGAAATCAGGATTCTTCTGGTGATGAATATTCTTCCTCGGTGACTTTGAAACACATAATAACATAGGCATTGGCTCTCCATATTACAGAAAGGATTAACATAGTGCAAGAAAGATTTACTAGAAATGATATAGAGTTGAGTGGTTATACCCATGAAGAAAAAGAGAGGACAGTGTGGAGTGGTCTTATAAAAAGGTCCTCAAGGTTTTTAGAAGATTTGATACAGCAGACATTCAGAAAATAATTCCAGTAATGGGCGAGTATAGACATAGGGTCATAAATTGGTAAATCCAATAGGGAATTCAAGAGAAACCTGGAAACTTTGCCTAGAGAGTGGTTAGACAGTGAAACTTGCTACCAAAATGATGGAGTCTGATGGCATACATGTATTTAAGGAAAAACTAGAAATGAATAAAAAATAAACAGAAGAATATATTGATGTGTTAGAAGAAGCGTCACATGCAGCATAAATATCAGCATAGATCATTTGGCCTCAACAGCCTGCTTCTGCATTGTAAAAGCTATTTAAATGCCAAGGAATCACTACATCACTGTTACATACCAATGCTGATTTTAACCTGCGTACCAAATTATCATATTAAAACTGAAAGAAAGAGTGAGGATGTCCAAGTATCACAGAAATGTTAATGTTTTATTTGTATTGCACTGTAAAAACATTGTAAAGTTTTTAATAGAAAATTGTTATTGAAGTAAAAAGTGTTTTTGCTGTTCATCAGCTACAGCACATTTTGCAGTAATCAATGCTGAATAAAAAAAAAGTTGCCTGTATAATGCACTAGCTCTCTGCAGAGATTTCTGAATACCAAATATTCTAACAAAAACAGAAACAGTTTGAAAACAGTGCTCACATTTAAAGAAGAAATAACGTCATTAATATGACCCAGTACAGAACAGGAATATCTTTTCCTTCAAACCCCTCTGTTGCAATTTTCTAAACAATCATAACCAAGTAAAATATATCTGGAAGTCTGGAAATTGGTGGAACTGAAACAAGAATACACGTTAAAAAGATAGTGACACAATTGGTTCATTTATAAATGAAATACCAGGCAGGTTGAAATGCTAAGGTAGTCAAAACAGCAAATTATTACACAAACAAGATTTATTTGTTTGCCTAGCTAATGGGGTACCCCTAAATGGCAGCACAATGATCACAGCAACTGTATTTTAAGAAGGTGGACTAACAAAGCAAACAAAAATCTGCCTTTTAAAAAAAATCAGGGCCTCTGCCATTAAGTAAACTTCCTTTTTACTTATCTGACCTTTCTTCCCAGTTGATTTCAACAATGGTGGAGGCCCAGATACATAACTCTATTAATGCTAGCCTGTATTATTGTTAAACACAGTTAGACCACTCAAAAAATCTGTTGCACTATTTTTTATATATTTTAAGTTCATGTTTAAAGTAATTTTCCAAGTCATGCTATGCAAGATTTAAGGGGTTGCCTTAACTTCTCACATAATTCATTAAAATCTTTGACTTTAAATAAAAAGTGTAGTTAGAAAATATTTAAGATTGACTGTTACAAAGGTTGCAACTAGCCATTCAGACAAAATTGCCAGTTTCCAATTTGAATAACATTGCTGCATATACAGCAGAGAAATACAAGCACATCAACAAAGTCAGATAAAACTCTATGCTGACAGAGCACTCATGGCCTAATTTAGTTTACATGGATCAATTAACACAACCCTTCAAAAATAATTTGTTCTATTTTATTCATTTCTTGAATTCCACAAAAAATGAATAGATTCTTGGTTTTGCGATGAAAAATAAATTTGTAAACATGCTTTCACAGGTTGAATTACATATTAGATAATTTTATAAAAACTTAAACCTACAACACCATCAATTAGAATACCAGATAACTGATGCTGCCATTTTTTGGTGTTTACTTGATGACTGGGTCTACATCAATTTAATAGTTGTCTTTTGATTTCTCACATTGCATAAAGATTAAACCAGGTGGCACTCTGGTGTTGTTTAAAACCGAAATTTCCTAAGGACCAGAAACACAGTATTACAACACAGGGAAAATGTTTCCTTATATACCACATACTGCATATAGGTTTGAAAACATACTAGGAACAGAATTTAAGCCTAGACCTTAGTTCCAAGATTCATGGGAAGTTTCTAAATTGCTTGAGCTTAATTGTAACAGCTTATTAGATCTAAATCATTTTGACTATATTACAATATGGTATTTTAATCACGTACCAGGGTGTATTACTATATGTAATAGTTTGTAAGCAATGGCCTGAACTAGATGTTATTTAACAAAGTCACCGAGTTAATTTACCAGAATCTACGCTTGAATAAACCAGGATGCATTTAGTTGGTTATGCTCATTCTTTCCAGAAATTCGTTTCATTACTCAACAGTTCCATAGACAGGGTAAATTTGTCACTAGGCAGAAATTGCTCTGCTTGCATTATACGCTCCCAATGAGCTGGTTGCTGTTCAGACCACATCATCGATTTACACTAGAAGAATGCTCAGATTATGCAGCATCTGCTGGCATTAGAGAAACGGATTTAATCAAGTTCTTTAGCGTAGAAATGGTTAATTCCAAATGCACCTTGAAAGACTCATGTTCATAACTTCATTGATATTTGTTCATCTTGTTAACTCTTTTGTCTTCATGGCCTTAGGTTTGTATTCATCCTAAACATCCAATCAACAGTCTCCAACAAGAAGGGCATGCTGTAGTGTCTGGCAATATTTCTGAATACCTGGATTTGTTCCATAAATCCCTACAAACATATACATAAAAACAAAATGCATGCATCAGAACGTTTATAAAAATGTTACTGAGTATATAAACAAAAGGGTTTGTAACACAGTTGAAAATTCAGGTCTTTTTAAGGGTGTGGTTGTCATGTGATTGAAAAGCTGACTAATTTAAAATAAGTCTAGAGATTCTTGATATAATTTTTAGATTTGTATGAATATTGACAAAAATAAATGAAGCATACTGACAAGTTACGGGATTAAAAAAAATTATTTCCAATCAAAATCAAATAAAGCTTCTGACAGGGATTTTTGATGGATAAAAGTTGTATCTAAGTGGCACCAAAGAACAATGGTATGAATGCACTTCACCTTTACAGAAATGGTCAAATCAAAGTCCCGGGCACAAGTACAATAAATTGGCATGTTGGCTTCTTTGATTCCTTTACATTTCGAACAAACCTAGGACAACAAAGTTTTTTTTAGTGCATTAAGTGGGAGATATAATAATTATAATTTTAGCATTATTTTAGTCAACACAGATTGAAACTGTAGCTACTAAATCTGGAAGAGACAGACTGTCTAAAATTTTGTGACTCCACTTCCAATCGATTGGTTATAGAACCAAACTACAAATGAATGGAATGGCAGATGAATGGGGCAATACTGAGAGAAGTCTCCCAAAGAATAGTTTTGGGACCTTGAAACATACAGTACAGAAGAGTCTCTTTGGCCCATTGTGTCTGTCCCACCAAAATTAAGGTTGGTCTCCCATGGTTTGTGATACAGAGTGATGACAACAATGTGGGTTCAATTCCCATACCAGCTGAGGATATCACGAAGGGTAGCTTCTCAACTTCTCCCCTCACCTGAGGTATGTGACTCTCAGGTTAAAACCACCAGACACCTCTTTCTTAAGGGAGAGTTATGGTCTGGTTCGTATGATCCAGTAGGACTATGGCAACTTTACTTGTACTGTTTCAATTTATATCCATGATCTGGCCTCAGAAACCCCAAAAAAATGATTTGATACCAAAATGCTGGTAGATACAGGAAGATCAGTGGATTACTGATGAATCTGAAGTACTAACACAGGGTTTAAAATAAAAGGCAATGCATTTTCCAAGAATGGTATGGAAAAATGTTAAGGATGGAATTGAAAAAAAGACTAGATGCCATAATAAACTTGGCATTCACAAACATCTAATGCACAGCAGAAATAGATAAGACCAGTTGAAAGTTAGACTTCATAGCCAAAATAATAGAAAGAAAGATCTGGTTGAATTCCAGTCTCTACTGTGTCCACTATTGGTTACTTAGATGGAAGGGTGATGATCAAGTGTTGGGTGCAGTGTCGAGAAGCTGATGTTCCTTTCTATTAAAAGAGGACTTCACTCACTTGTAACAGAAATTTTACTGGCCCAGTTTGGTGCCTCTGTTCTTCCCATTTCAGAACCAGGGCACAAACTATTTCCTGTGACTTGAGCACATGGTTCTTGTTATGCATTTAAAGTTAGAAACAAAACGCAAATTTTAAGTCTAAATCTTTTAAAAAAAAAAATCATTTTCTTTTCTGTGCTTAACAACTTACATGTATCAAAAATATAATCTTGAGGAGCAAACATGTTCTTTCATGCTAAAATCACCACTGGGTCCAATATTCTGGGACTAGGATTTCATTTAGATTATTGACATGTATAAAAGTCATGAATACATATAAGACAGTCACAGTTAAAAAAAATGTTTGTAATAAATTAAAACAATGTAGCATTGGCTCAGGCATGTGATACTTAAAGAAAGGACATGTTCATGTACCAAATCCTGAAGCGTATAGGCCATCATTTTCTTCTTCAGTGCTTCTACCAATTCCATTTCTATAGAATCTGAGTCGTACTCAGTCTGACAATTAGTGCAGCACCACTTGGGTAGTATAGTGCCATCCTGCCAAAAAGAAAGGAATCACTGTATGCAAAGTTTAAGCATAAGCCCCTAAAATACAAGAGTGAGCAAGCCAAAGCAGTTAAAGATATTAAAGCAAGCGATCACAATTCAAAAATAAAATTCCAACACCGGACTGAAATTGCAATTTGAAGCAGAAACTTTGAAGTGAGATAGTGTGTTTAAAGCATTTAAAATAGAGCTTCTATGTTGTTTTGGTAAAGTATTAATAAGGAGGAAAGAAACAGTGTTAAAATGACAGCATTTTGGGCTGTGCTCAAGTAAACTCAAAGAAAGGAATGGATTATGAAACTTTCATTTATACTGTAGTCTTACTCAAATGCTGCAAAAGTTAGAAACAAACTAAACTATCCTTTTCAGCAATCAATTGTTACTTTACCACAGAACAGATTTTTCTTTTTCTTACAAAATTAATTCCAGAATTATGCTATCAACAGCAATGATCAGCATTTATTGTTTGCACAAGTTTCCCATTAAAATTCTTCAACTGCTGTAATCCATGGTTGGAAGATATGCCCACAGTGCTATAAAGATAGGGAGTTTCAGGATAGACTTTGCAACAAAGGTAAAATGATAGATGCCCAAATCACAACTTTATCAGATTTACGGAGGAGAAACTTAAAGGTGATGGTCTTCTCATGCTTTTGCTGTCTTTGCTATTCTAGGTGGTAATGGTTATGCAAGTGCTGTTATTGCAGTGCATCACTGTATAGCACATACCACAGCCATGGTGCGCCACTGTGGGACATGTTTAAAGCAGGTGATTAGGTTACCAATGAACTGCTTTGGTTTGGATAGTTTCAAACTTGTTCTGTGATTTGTGCCTTTTTGGAGAAGTATTAGGGAATCAGAAGAGCCACTTGCAGAATTTGCAGCCGTGGACTTGTACTAGCAGCCATGGAATTTCTGTGGCTGGTTTAAGTGAGTTCCTTGAAAATGGTGAGGACTTTAGCAATGGCAATATTATTGAACCCCAAAGAAAAGCAATTATACTCTTGCTATGGATGGTTTTTACCTAGCATTTGCCTGGCACAAATTTTACTTGTCTATTGCCAGTCCAAGTCTGAAATATTTTCTAGGCCTTGTTTTATGCAGGCACAAACACCCTTACAATTTTAATTTAAACCACCTGAAAGACTGTTGGAAACAAACTAAGTAACAACCTTCAGTAGACAACTGGATGCACACTTTCCTGGGGAAAACAGCGAGAGATTCAGATTGGATAGTTGTTTCAAAAAAACCAGCACATGGGCAACCTTTCAGTGTTAAATGGTGTCTTTTCTTAAAATCCAAAAATTAAGCAACGAACACATGTTTAAGAACAGGGTCTTATTTCAAGTTCACAAGTGGGTATGCCAAGACCGGACTCTCAATTGTCTGATTGCTAAAATAACTACCAGAAATGTTGAACCCCTCCATATGTACCTGCAACATGGAAGGGTCTTTACAAAGATCCAGGTCATGGCAGAAGTTGCAATTCTTGCAGATAACTTCAGCTAATATGTAGGACTGGCAGGGGTCTTTAAACTGAGCTTCCTCAGAGAATTCCCCTACATCGATTAGACGTAAAAGATCTCGTTTCAACTTATTAACCTGGTTGGTTATGTTCGAATCCAGAGACAAGATCTATTTGAAGAAATAAAAAGTGCATTGCTATTATGACATCTGCATCATGCATATATAACAAACAGCATTTACTATTTTTAAGTAAGAGCAGTAAAATTCACGCAAACATTGTGCTATGCAATAAAGGATGGGAAGCAAGGAAGTGAAATATTCCTGATTTCATTTGTCCAGTGACATCATGCATACCTCAGTCACAAATAGTGGGGTAGATTTGGAGTAAATCTCCTACAATGCACACGAAGCTTAAACATTATCACATTAATAAAATGCTAATAAAATTTGCACTGTGATCTTAGTTATTGTGCTGAGAGAGAAAGTTGTAGCTCACTGATCACATTCTCACTATTGACAAACCAATTATTCATTCAAGTGTCCCTCCGGAGACTGAACATCTAATGGAGGTCTCACAGCAGTACTGAGGGACTGCAGTCCTATAAAAGACCCATCTTTCAGATGAGATGTGAAACTGAGGCTCAGTGTATCCTCTCAGTTGAACATGCAAGATTCATAAATTGATGATGATTAGGTAAGTTCTCCAAGTGTCAATTCTCAACTAGCATCAATAAAAGCAGACTATCTGGACATTTATTCACATTACTGACTGTAGCAATTTCAATACAAATTGGCCACTATTGTTCCTGGCATTACATTGAGACTGACTGTACTTCAAATGGCTTTCACAATAAAAATCAGTCCTGTCGCCCCACTGCCTGTACACCATCTACAAGTCAGAAGTATGATGGAACACTTCCCACTCATCTGCATAGGTACTCAAGCACCAACAACACAAGAAGCTAGACATCATGCAGGACAAAGCAGCCTGCTCCATCAGCACCCAATATCTCCTTCAACATTCACTTCCTTCACCACTATTGCAAAGTGGCAGCAGTATACACAATCCACAAGATGCACTCCACATCTCATTAATGCTGATCTAACAGCACATTCCAAATATGCAAGATAAGGGTAGTGGATGGTTGGGAACGTCACCTGCAATCCACTCTCCAAGCCACAAACTGTCTTATCTTGGAGCTGTCCCATCACTGTCACAGGGTCAATATCCTGAAAAACCCTTACAAATAGTGCTGTGGTATGTTTACATCACAAGGACTGAGCACTTCAAGGTGATGGCTCACTACTACCTTCCTCAGGACAACCAGAGGTGGGCATTAAATGTTACCCTAGCCACTGATGTCCACATCCAATAAATCAATAAGTCATCATAAAATAAACCAGCAAGTTATAGCAGTTAACAAATGTGCATGTTCCAAAAGACATTTAGGTTCTCAAAAAAGGTTAATACAATGCTTCATTTCAATGATATTCTAAAAGTAAAAATAAAGCAGCCCGATTAGAAATATAAATTTGTATCAATTTGATTTGTGACACTTCTTAGGAATGGAGATCAACTGAATAGAAATGCAAGACAAACCAAGAAAGTTAGCTTTCACTGGAATTGCTTAAATAGTACAACAATCTTTTCAGTGGTAGTATTGTGCCAATCATCCAGCCAGTCTAAAGAACTCCTTGGCAGTTGACTGAATTTGAATCTCCATCTCAGAGGTGAAAGTGCAGTTTACAAAAATAAAAATGCATTACACTCATCAGTCACAATTTTCCCCATTCTAGAAACAGTAACCCTAAACAGTTATGTTGCTCCATTCTCTTCACCTTACAAACTGATTTGATGAATTCCAGTGCAGGATTGTTGAATGGAAGATAGGAGCCTGGTAGAACTGGGAACATTTCAGAAGGCTCAGTGGAGTGTCTATTGCTGCTCACTTTCTTCAAAATTTTCTGAGTGATGGTGAAAAAGTTGTGTGTGAGCTCATTAGCAACATACTCCTGAGAGAAGGTGATCATTCCTGCAAAATGAGGTTACGTTCAGTTAGGTGAGGTCACTATCGCAATAACAAGTCTCAGGGCTCAACTGGTCTATGCTGGTATTTCTGCTGTACACAAAGCTTCCCCTCCAACAATTTTTCATCCCACGATATTCACATAGTCTTCTATTCCTTTTTGACTCATTCACGGATTTAGCCACTCTTTAAACGCATCTGGTAATTTGCTTCAATTACTTGTGGCAGCAGATTCAACATTCTCACCAGTCTTGGACAGTTTTTCTCCCCCAACATGAAATCCCCATTGGATTATGAGGGACTATATTAAGTGCGCCCTGGATTTATTCCCTTATAATTATATTATATCTGATCTACAGTTCAACCTCTTTAGAACCTCAGGCTCCATGACCTCCAAAAGTGTTTTATGGCCAGAGAAAGATTTTTCAAAACACCATTGTAAGATTGTGCACTTTTTGATTGCCACATTTCCAGAATAACAGCCCGTTAGAAATAACAATGAGACAATGACTAGATAATGTTCTGGTTGAGGAATAAATTATAGATAAGGTACAATGGAAAACTTTCCTGTTCTTGAAATAATGTCACAAGTGTATAACAGAGGGTACATGGGGGCCTCAATTTAACTTCTCATCTGAGGGACATCACCTCCAAAAATAGACTATACCAGCACTGACATGTTAGCCTAGACTTCTGATTAGAGTCTCTGGAATGGAGCTTAAAGCCACATGTCCTGTCTCAGGATTAAAATTGCAATCTTTTAGTCACATTGGCACCATCAATTGAGGGCTGGTGAGATGGAAAACACAGAAATATGAAAAGTACTGTAGCTATTGGCTGAGACTTCAGTTTCACAGAAAAACAGTCAAAAATAGGCAATACTACAGCATACAGACAACATGCCTTTTGCTCTTCAAATTACACAATACAACTTTTCAGACAGTTTAAAAACTCTCAAAGGCATGTAGAAAAAAAAGCAATATTTATTTTGCAATATTACTCACATTTATTTCACACTCTACACTTTATTTGATCATTAATTGTATTTTTAAATTATTTTTAAAAAAAGAGAAGAAATATGTTAAAACCTAGTGCTTTGCTCTAGGCACTACTTTCTAACCTGCAGATGCTCCCGTTTCTCCTGCAGGCTCCTGTGAAATTTGGCTGGTGCCTCGTCGTTTTATAGGAGTACACCCTGGGGCATTGCGTCTAAGTTCTTCCTTCATGCTGTGGTACACAGCTACAATATAAGCTGAAAAATTTCAAATGTAATGAGTGCACACAACTGCATAAAGAAATTAGCAATTAATAGCCTGTATTGTTTCTTACAGATTTTACAATTTATTTCAGTGAAAGGATCAGAGAAAAAAAATCAGTTACAATATTAATATGAATTTTGGCCAGAATTAGTTTTGTCTATCTGCTGATTTGTAATTTGCTGTTTTTTTGCAGATAAGTACTTCCTCCTTCTTTACAGGTTCATGACATATGCCCCACACACTAATTTCTGCACGATTTTCATTTTGACTTATTAAAGAAGTTGATCAGATGTACACACACTTTGATAGAGCTAACTGTCTCATGTCATGTTATTGACTTTTTGGTGTTATGCCTCTGCACCTCTACCTTTATCAAACTATTGATCAATAGGCCTTTAGTGCCGTATGCCTGATGCCCTGGAATTTTCTCTTTAAACAACTTCTCACTTGCACTTCCATCTCATTACCAAACACCTTGTGCCCAACTACCTGCACTAATTCGACAGGCAATGGCCTAGTAGTGTTATCACCAGATTGTTAATCTGGAGACCCAGCTAATGTTCTGGGGAACACAGTTTCAAGTCCAGCCATGGCCGATTGTGGAATCGAAATTCAATAAAAATCTAATGGTGACCATGAATCCATTGTCTACTGCCAGAAAAACCCATCTGGTTCACTAATGTTCCTTCCTTTAGGGAAGGAAACTGCCATCCTGACCTGGACTATATGTGACTCCAGACCCATTGTAATGTAGTCTCAACTGCCTCTGGAATGTGCGATAAATGCTGGCCTAGTCAGTGATGTCCTCATCCCATGAATGAATAGAAAAAATGAGCAAAAAAGAGATCCATGTCCAATTTTCAAGCAAAATTGTTCTGCAAGTCATCTGACAATAATGCTGCCAACTTTTCCCTTTCCCCATTTTAATATTCAATATTGCCACATGATCAAATGTTTTTTGATCCAATCCAAGTCTTTTGACATTTTAATCCAATTTACAAATGGCTTAAGGATGATAGGGAGATACCTTAAAACTTTTAACACGCATCCACAACATTGCCAAGTCAGTATTTTGAATAAAAAAGACGTATACTGTTTGTTTGGAGATAGCAAGAACTGCCAATGCTGGAGTCAGAGATAACACAGTGTGGAGCTGGAGGAACACAGCAGACCCTTCATTTCTGAAGAAGGGTCCCGACCCGAAATGTCAACTTTCCTGCTCCTCTGATGCTGCCTGACCTGCTGTGTTCCTCCAGCTCCACACTGTGTTATATGGTTTGTTTCTTGTTTAAGCAGATATGGAATCAGCAACAAACAGAGAGATTTGTAGAGTTCCTTGCAATCACACAGCATCTTGAATCATGAAACATGTTCCCTCTCAAAGTGAAATGAGAAGATCAGGATGCCAAATAAAGAAATGGGTAGTCGGACACAAGATCATGAATTTAGTAATGAGGTGGAAGTACAAGGGAGAAGTTGTTTAAGGAGAAAATTCCAGGGCATCAGGTGTTTGGCACTAAAGGCCTGGTGATCACAACTCTATTAAAGTGTGCGAATATCTGAGCAACTTGTTTAATAAGTGAAAATTGCATCTTTGGATTTTCACATTATTAAGAGAGTTTAATTGAAAAATCTTGTCAATTTTCAAATCTGATACAGTTTAGGTTGTAACTTGTGCTGTAAGTACTATTCTGAAGATCAGGATTTAATTAATACAATATAAATGTGCTTAAACTTGTCTTAGAATTAAAAGTAACATTTAAATACAAATTGGCTACATGTATCAAGTAATGGGCCAATTCGGCCAGGTGCTAAGAGAACTGTTGAACGACCGAGACAAGTTTGGGCTGAACTATAATATATCCTGTACTTACTGATAAAATCTACAGCAATCTGCACAAAAACAAGCCACGTGGGTGAAACAATCGAGAACTGCTAGTACCTATAGATCTGTATGCCACCTTCAGACAAGGAGGGACGGTCAATCTATTACTTTTTTGCACTGGGCAGGTTCAGAACATAGATGAGCAAAGTTTGTCAGAAGACATGGTGCTTCCAGTTCTTTGTGCTCCAAACAGTGCATTTGGAATGATGAAAGATGAACTCCCACAATATCACATGCTTTGACTTGATTTGTTATCGATGCACATACCAAGATACAGCGAAAAGAATTATTTTGCGTGCTTTCTAGACAAATCATACCTTACATAAGTAAATCAGGGTAATAGAACAGAATATAGTGTTACAGCTACAGAAAAAAATCAACTTTAATATACGAGAGGTCCATTCATGAGTCTGATAACATAGGGAAGAAGCTGTTCTTGAATCTGTTGGTAATGTGATTTCAACGTTTTGAACCTTCTGCTGATAGAATATAGTATAATCAGGGTGAGAGGGGTCTTTGATTATGTTGGCTGCTTTCCCGAGGCAGTGGGAAGTACAGATAGAGTCATTGGAAGGAAGGCTGATTCTCATGACGAACTGGGCTGCATTCACAACTCTAATTTCTTGCGGTCTTCGGCACAGCAGTTGCCACACCAAATTGTGATGCATTCAGATAGGATGCTTTGTGTGTTGCATCTATAAAAATTGGTAAGTGTCATCGTGGATATGCCGTATTTCCTTAGCCTTCTGAGGCAGTAGAAGCGTTGGTGTCCTTCTTGGTTGTAGCCCATACAAATAGTGACAAAAGCAAATGCAGCAAGGTCACAGGAGCTGCTAATAATGCAGTGCAGGCTTGTCTTCAGATATGTTGGAGGATGACAGCAGGCCAGGCAGCATCACAGGAACAGAAAAGTTGATGTTTCGGGTTGGGACCCTTCTTCAGAAATAGGGGAGGGTGAAGGGAGCTCAGAAATAAAGAGAGAGGAGGGATGGGGTTGGGGAAGGTAGATGAGATAGGTGAGTGCAGGTAGGGAGTGGTGGGGATTGGTCAGTGAAGTGGGAGGGGTGGATAGATGGGAGAGAAGATGGACAGGTTGTGTCAGGTCAAGGAGGCAGGGATGAGAGGAAGGATTGGTCCTGGGATGAGGCCGGGGGTGGGGAGATTTTGAAACTGGTGAATTCCATGTTTAGGCCATTGGGCTGTAGGCTCCCAAGGCAGAATATGAGGTGCTGCTCCTCCAGTTTGCAGGTAGCGTCATTGTGACACTGCAGGAGGATCAGCGAGTGGGAGGGGGAGATAAAACGATTCACAACCGGAAGGTGTTGTCATTTGTTGCGTACAGAGCACAGATGCTCCACAAAATGCTCTCCGAGTCTCCGCTTGGTCTCTCCAATATAGAAGAGGCTACATCGGGAGCAGCGGATGCAGTAGGCCAAGTTGATGGATGTGTAGGTGAACCCCTGTCTAATGTGGAAGGTTTGTTTGTGCCATGAATAGAGGGGAGGGGGAGATGTAGGGGTAGTTGTAGCACTTCCTGCTGTTGCAGGGAAAGGTGCCAGGGGTCGTGGGGTTAGTGGGGAGTATGGAGCGGACGACAGAGTTGCGGAGAGAGCAGTGCCTACCAAAGGCAGATGGGGTGGGGAGGGAAATATCTCTTTGGTTGTGGGGTCGGATTGTAGGTGGCGGAAGTGGCGGAGAATGATATGTTGGTTGCGGAGGTTGGAGGGGTGATATGTGAGGACAAGGGGGATTCTGTCTTGGTTTTTGTTGGCGGGGGGGGGATGTGAGTAGAGATGCGGGAAATGCAAGAGATGCGGTTGAGGGCGTTTTCGATCACTCTGAGGAGGGGGAAGTTACGGTCCTTAAAATAGGAGGACATCTGAAATTTGTAGGAGTGGAACGCCCCATCTTGGGAGCAGACGCAGCAGAAGTGCAGTATTTGGGAGTAGGGGATTGCATTCTTGCAAGAAGGTGGGTGAGAGGAGGTGTAGTCTACTGAAGAAGGGTTCTGACCCGAAATGTCAACTTCCCTGCTCCTCTGATGCTGCCTGGCCTGCTATGTTCCTTCAGCTCCGCACTGTTATCTCCAGCATCCAGCATCTGCAGTTCTTGCTATCTCTCCAGATAATTTGTTCCTTCAACAACAATAATAATATTGAAATTTATATTTGGTTTATGTTCACTGAGAGAGGCACCAAAGGGAATGAGAATATTTGGCGATTGAAACTGACGATCACTAATTTTTTTAGCCAATATACTTTACAAATATTAATTTAATTTTTTGCTTTGTTATTACAAGTCTTTACTTTAAATTTATGAGGCACTTTATTTGCAAAGGAAATTGACATATTTACATTACATTTAACATTTAACCTGCTGTTCCTATCAATCTGCCTGTGAACAACGGGGAGGCGATGGCTTACTGATATTGTTGCTGCCCTGTTAAACCAGAGACCTGGATAACATTCTGGGGACCCGGGTTCGAATCCCGTCCAAATCCATTGTCAATTCGGGGAAAAACCCAACTGGTTCACTAAGGTCCTTTAGGGAAGGAAACTGCCCTCCTTACCTGGTCTGGCCTACATGTGACTCCAGATCCACAGCAATTTGGTTGACTCTGAACTGCCCTTTTGGCAATTAGGGATGGGCAATAAATGCTGCCTAGCCAGTGACGCCCTCATCTCGTGAATGAATAAAGAATAAAGAGCTTGAATATGCAACCCTCATTGACTGATCCATCAACTCATTAGCTGGACGCAGCTACAAACAAAAATATTTACACTTCTATTCAGGTTGTTGTAAAACCAAAAAAAAATTCACGCCAATTTGATTTTTTGCAATATCACCTTGCACATTCCAAAGCCAGATGACAACAAACTGGAAAGAAAGAAAGTTCTGTCGTCCAGTTTTTAAGCCAGGCTAGCCATTAGATAGTACCAGATAGTTTCATAGCCAGCATCTTGGCATGAAGTCCACTAAATTTAGTAAAGCACCGGTATTGTAATAAAGACTGCGCTTGTTCTTCTCCTAGTCTGCAGCTGCCTTAATACAACGAGGATGTAAACATCAGGTTTGTTTTAGTAGTTTCTACCCTCCCCACCCGCACTGTCTCTGTCCATGGCACAGAATCCCTGAACAGTTGGCAAGACATCAGCAATATGTGCCACAAAGGTATTTAGCTTTGGTGGCCTCAGGCACTGGACACCCTACATAAAATTGCGTTGGGTTCATAACTGTTAAAGAAAATTATTGCACCCATTGTTTTTATTTTTAGCAAGTTGTGTTTAGAAGACATCTGCCAATTTTTAGGCTATGCTGAACATTATGATGATAGCAACAACAATAAAATAACTGAAAAAAGTCCCTCAATAAACGTGAGTAAAGTCAAGTTTTACTCATGAGATTAATTGCAATGCATTAATAAGATTTATACATAATATACAATCATATGTAGACAGATACACATACATGTACAACTAACTGACAGTCTTGAAATTCAGTACCTGAGACAATCATGAGGAAGTAGCTCTGACAAGATGATGCTTGTGGCAAATAATGCATGATATTCCAGTTATTGTCCAAAAGGTCTTCGACATCAGTGCCAGTTTCCTCATCCTCAGAATGAATCTCTTCATCATCACTGCTGTCATCTTCAACATTTTCCTTTGTTCCTTTATTGCTCTCCACCTTGACATAACACATTATCCCACATTGTCAAAAACAAACTATAATAGTGTAAGGAGATTCAAACATTACCATTCTAATCAACTTCTTGAAAAAAATTTATGTTTAGACATTTTCTTTACAGCTTAATTGATCAATACAGAATTAACATGTATGTACAATTTTAAAGGCAACTGGTTGGTTGGTTCCCTCTCTTGTAAGGACGTATCTGATCTCTGATTATTTTTTAAACTTTCCCCTAACAGCTCATTAACTTCCTTTGGCACTTCAGAAAGTATGGATGAAGGAGACCATTGTTTCCTTCTGACTTAGGCATCTATTGAAACTTACACACAAAAGGCTTTTGAATTATTCCAGGATTTTTAACCCCATAACTATGCACAGAACACATTTCAGGTATAAATTTGTGCATAGAAATATACCCCAACATCATTCCAAACTAATTTTTAATTTGCAGTTACAGGTAGTTCTCCTATAACACAATAGTTGTGTTAAAAACCAAAAGAACTGCGGATGCTGTAAATCAGGAACAAAAACAAAGTTGATGGAAAAGCCCAGCAGGTCTGGCAGCATCTGTGAAGGAAAAATCACAGTTAACGTTTTGGGGTCCGGTGACCCTTCCTCAGTTCTGAGGAAGGGTCACTGGACCCGAAACGTTAACTCTGTTTTTTCCTTCACAACAGTTGTGTTCTTGTGCGACGTTGCGCTATAGAAAATAGTGAAAATCGCTATACTGTACAGTAGAAAGTTTGCATTATCCAAACAGCGTCCACTCTTCATTAATTGCATTACAGCAAATTTGTGTTCACGAAACATGCGTTATAGCAGAGCTACTTGTACTTCTGCTAGTCTTGCAGTCATTTTGTTCTGAAATAATGTTCCAGACTTGCCTCTTATATTTCACGAAGTATCTTGCAAAGCCTTATAAAACAGTCCCTCTTGTTCATCTTATTTAATGTCAATGAGCTACAACTTTTTTACAAATCAAAGCATCTCTTTCCTACATTATTTGCAGATCTTGTATTTTTCTTTAATGTCTTAGTGACCAAAATCAATGCAGAAGATGTCCTCCTACTTCAAGGAGCACAACCTCCCCCATTCCGATGATCCAAAATACCCTCAACTGCACCTCTTGCATTTCCGGCACTTCTGTCGTCAAACCCCCACCCCCCAACAAAAATAAGGACAGATTTCAAGGTCCTGACATACCGCCCCACCAAACTCCGAATCCAATGCATCATCCTCTGCCACTTCTGCCACCTGCAATCCAACCCCACCACCAGAGATATTTCTCTCCCCATCCTATCTGCCTTTCATAGGGACCGCTCACTCTGCGACTCCCTCATCCATTCCACATTCCCCACTAACCCCACCTTTCTACCAGTCTTAGAAAGAGGCATAACTACAGGAAACTTCTGAACTACTTTCTTACCCTTCCTGCCAATCACCCATTTATCTGACTGATCCTGTGTAATCGCTTCTCTTAATCCACTAGCCATCTCAGTGTCTCTTGTATGTTCTTGATGACATTATGCCTAAAACAAAACTTTCAATAGTACCATATTTAAAAAATAAGTGACCGTTCCTTACCCACAGAAATTAATGTTTAAAATGTAAAACAAAAATCATATAAATCTTAAATAACATCAACCACTTAGTTCAACAATCGAATTTAAAAAAAGACTCAAGTAGACCAGCAGACAGCTTTAAAACTGCTGACAAAAGTTAAAAAAAACCTCCTGCGGAGTCGACCACGTGAAGCTTTCTTCAAACATAAACACAACTCCATTTAGAAAAAAAATGTCCTCTGCAATTCTAAAAGTCTCTTTATTGATATTAAAAAAAACTCGCCTGTGTGTATAATTTTTTCAGTGAGAATATGTAGGCCTCTTCAAAAGCTCCTTAAGCATAACTCAGTTTCCTAAACAAAAACACTTTTTGTTTGTTTTTTTGAACATTAAAGATCCAAAAAGAATCAAAATAAATATCTTAAGCTACTGAAATATAATTGCTATAATAAAATTAGAAGTAAGCCTGCAATCTCAGGAGCGGGCTGCAATATCCATGCGGTCTACCATTGTTTTCTTCCCCCATGGAAACTTCTTTGTATTCAGAAATTTCATTAAGACGGTCAGAAATGTCATTGTGACTGCCAACCTTGTAGATTTCATCAGAATTTTCATCTAACACCTGGGTTCTAAAATCCTTAAAAGGATCTCATTTTCCTTTCACAATACTCTTTCTCACACAATTATCAGGACATTTTATAAGGAATCCCAATGTAAAGGCATCACATCCACAAACGTCAACTCCCTTCATCACCAACACTCAGTAGCAGCAGTGCGTACTACTGACAAGGTACAGGAGAGAAATTCACCAAGCATCCTCAGACAGCACCCGCCAAACCTACAACCACTTCCACCTAGAAGGACAAGGGCAGCAGGTACATGGAAACACGACAACCTGCAAGTTCCCCTCCAAGTCACACACCACCCTGACTGGGAAATATATCACTGTTCCTGGGTCAAAATCCTGGAATTCCCTCCTTAATATGGCATTGTGAGTCTATCTACAGCACAGGGATTGCAGTAGTTCAACAAAGGAGCTCATCACTACCTTCTCAAAGGCAACTAGGGACAGGCAATAAATGCTGGCTAGCCAACAACGCTCACATCCCATGAGCGAATAAAATAAAAAATAGTAAGTAGCCAGTTGACCCATTGACAGGTCAGTCCCAGAGATAACAAGGTGTCGAGCTGGATGAACACAGCAGGCCAAGCAGCATCAGAGGAGCAGGAAGGCTGACGTTTCAGGCCTAGACCCTTCATCAGAAATCCATTCCTTTGCTCTGTCCCATTAATTCTGCATGTTTATTTACCTCAGTGCCTATTCAATTCCTTTTGAAATTATGGATTGCGCCTGCTTCCATCACCCTGGTCAGCAGCAAGTTCTGGGTTATTACCACTCAATATTTATGTTTTAAAAAAGTTCTTCTGCACTGTTTGACCAAATCCTCAAATCTGAGTTCCCTATTCTTTTTACCATCAGCTTTCACCTGTCCATCTTATCTAAGCCTGTCATACTTTATATACATCTAACTTAGCTCCCAAACATTTTTCTCAAACAGCAACCGTAACTTTTCCAGTCTAACATTGTGGATAAATTCCCTCACTCTGGAACCATTCTTCCAAAATTCCATAGATTAAAGAACGATTCCTGCAGATTGGAAGCTTGCAAATGGCACCCCACTATCAAAGAAAGGAGCGAAGTATAGGGGTCAAGAGGCACATAGGCCTTACATCAATAGTAGGGGAAATGCTAGAATCTACAAAGGACATGATAAATGGACATTTGGATAAAAATGATGTGATTGGGTATAGTCAGCATGGTTATGCAAATGAAAATTGTGTTTACCAAACCTGAAGTTTTTTTTTGAGGATATTCCAAACAAAACAGATCAAGGTAAGTTAATAGATGTAGTAGTGGATATTTGGATATTCAGAAGGCTTTTGATAAAGACACTGGTTAGCGAAATGAAAGCACATGGTGTAGGTGGTAATGGATTAAGGATTGGCTAACAGGCAGAAAATTATAGGAATAAATGGGTCATTCTTACATTAGCAACCGTGACTAGTGGTCTACTGCAAGGATCAGCATATGTTCACGACATATCTCAATGCTTCAGACACAGGACCAAATTGATTATTTCCAAACTTGCAGATGATACAAAGCTAAGCAGGAATGTATGCAGAGTAGATGCAAAACATTTTCAGGAGAATGTGAACAGGCTCAAGTGATAGGGCAAGAACATGGCAAATGGAACATAATGTTGAAAAATATGAGGCTATTTTGGTAGGAAGAACAGGTATGTAGAGTATTTCTTAAAAGGTCAGAGGTTGGAAGGTGTACGTGCAAAAAGGGGACTTGGGCCACTTGTTAATAAGTCACTGTAGGCTAACATTCAGGTGCAGCAAGCTATTAGGAAAGCTAATGGAATGTTAGCCTTCATTGCAAGAGGATTGGAAACAGAAGTAGTGAATTCTTGCTTCAATTGTACAGGAATTTGATTAGACCTCACCTGGAAAACTCAGTAGTCTTGATCTCTATCTCAAGTCATGGATATTATTGCCTATTTAAATTGAGAAAGTGTTACAAAGATTCACCAGATTTATTCACAAGATGGCGTGATTGTCCTAAGAAGAGATTGGGGCAAACTGGCTTATATTCTCTAGAATTTCAGTGAATGAGAAGTGATCTCATTGAAACCTACCCCATAGCTAGAAGAAGATACAGGGTAGATGCAGGTAGAAACTTTTACTCTGGTTGAGGAGCCTAGGTCCAGGAGAACAATTTGAAATAAGGAGGATGCTAGTTATGACAAACTGAGGAGAAATCCATTTTACTCAGAGGATGGTGATATTTGGAATTCTCTACCCCAGAGGGCTCTGAAAGCTCAGCCTTTAAGTATATTTAAAGCAGAGGTTGATAAATTTTTGATAAAGTATGGATTATATAGATAAAAGACACTGATGTGTACAATTAACCGAGACTATATTTAACGATGGTGTTGGATCGACAGGCTCAAACATCTACTCCTGCTCCTATGTTCCTTGGCACCCTCGTAATTCCTAAAGTATTCCAGAACTACATGAATATTCTAGTTGCGGCCTAATCACAGCTTTAGAAACAGAGCATAGTTTCCCTTCTTTTGCACTCAATATTTATTAAGGACAAATGTCCATTTAGTTTGTGAACTACTCTCTCAATGTGTTCTACTATCTTCAAAAATCTATGCACATGAACTATGTTCCTGTGACCCTAACCCTATCGCAGATGCACAAATTACATCAAAGTCTATGGTGTGCATTACTTGCATTCGTGGTATAAAGAAATGTTGGCCATCAGCTGATCCAAAGAAAACAAAAAGGTCCGCCCTTAATACGAACTAGTAGCAGGAACAGGGTTCTGCCACTCAGTAGAAGATCCACGCACGAGTGGTGCCA